AGTGGAACAAGCGTTACCAAAAGAGAAATTGGATCCCAATAGATGGGAAGAACATTAGACAAACAATCGCTCCCTTAAAGAAATAATTCAAGCCTTGTAATGTGAACAAGTTAGATTTTGGTACCCAGAGAGCTCACCTGAGATTCTGACACCTCTCTTATTTGCTGTGGAAGAATTGTGAATAGCTGAGAAGCTGCCCCAGAACCAAAGATGAAAAACAACCTCATTTTCAAAAAGGCAAAAAGCTATATATATATTCTGGTATGCTTGGTGTTGATAGTGACCTGAATTCCTGACTAAGTAATTAAAAGGATGATTTGGGAAAATGAAGAAAGGCAGCAGCTAGGATAAATTCTGGAAAAACAAGTCATGGTCATTCTCATTTTTGTTCGCATTAAAAAGTATTTTTTTATGGTTGTAAAAAATCAAATCTACCTTTCCTAGATTAAAATATATTATTTTTATTTATTTTGTGTTGGCATATCACCCTTTTTTCAGTCCTTTTATTTATATACTTTCTATTTTCTTTTTAGACAATTGAGTTTATGGAAACTTTTGTGTTTGCTATTAAACTCCAAAGTCTGCAAAGTGTAAGGCTTGTATTTAAGGTTCAAACCCAGACTCCCAGGAAGAAGACCATTGGTGAATGCTCGCTGTCACTCAGAACTCTTAGCACACAGGAAATGGATTACTCTTTGGATATAGCACCACCTTCAAAAATTCCTGTAAGTGATAATATATAAATAACCCTAAAGTATGAGTAACTTTAAATTATCAATTAATGTTATAAAAAGTTTTTTTAGTAGCTGATAAGAAAGCAGGAAGGAATCATAAACTGTAAGCTCAGTCAGAGATTGCCTTCAGATCGATTGGGAAAGTTGTTTTTAATCCTGAGCAAGCTAAATAGCTCTTCATTAACTGGGCAAAAACAAGGATTTTACAGCTGGTATTTTTTGTAAAGAACTTGATTATCTTTGAACCTTGACATTCGCTTCTCTCAACTAGCCAGCTGAACACTTAGAGCAGCGGTTCTCAACCTCTGGGTCGCAACCCCTTTGGGGGTCGAACGACCCTTTCACAGGGGTTGCCTAAGAGCATCGGAAAACACATATATAATTATATATTGTTTTTGTGATTAATCACTATGCTTTAATTATGTTTCATTTGTAACAATGAAATTGGGGTCACCACAACATGAGGAACTGTATTAAAGGGTCGCGGCATTAGGAAGGTTGAGAACCTGACTTAGAATGTTTAGAAATCCCTAATAATTTAATTATATAGTTTCTATGTCAGCATAACATTTATAGAAATCAGCCATAAGCTTTGATAAGATCAAACCTTATATGATTTTAAATTTATGTAAGTTTTATATTTCACCTACTGTTCAAAAATATTTATGTTGGCTTAAAGTGGTTCTGAACCTGGGTACGCATTAGAATCACCCAGTGAGGTTTAAAAACATGCCCACACCTAAACCAATTAAATCAGAATATTTGGGGGGTGGGGCCAGAGGCGTCTGTATTTCTTTATCCCGTGTCTGTTATTTTCTGTTCCACCCCCAATGTGTTTTTTATAGCATTTATTACAACTAAGAATTATTTAAGTTACTTGTTTTAAACAAAACAAGGCTTGAATTTTCATCTGTTTCCTTTATAATTTGCAGTGCTCTGAGCAACAGCCTGTCATGTTCTTTGCATTGAATATTTATATGTAGATAGATATGAAAGAATAAATGAAGAATGGGAGAGTGCACAATTAGATTATCGTGTTCAAATATGTTTAAATACATTTGTTTTATAGCTGTGACAGGAGTTCATCGCTTGCATCTTTGAAACTAGCTCAGTAGACAGTAATCTGCAACCCTAGGTTATAGAAGGCACAGATACTCAACTGGACAATTCATATATTAAAACCTAAATTAGTGAGACTAGTAGAGTACACCAGACTCAGCAAAGGTATTTTCTGGGGAACTGAGACATTAGACTCTTACCTGCCTTGGAGAATCTGGATGAACGATTGTGGTTCAGTTTCTACCAAATGATATATCAGAGATCATGTCAGCAAAGGTTTTATTTTATGTGTGGCTACAGATTTAGTTCATGTGAAAAGGTTTATTAACCCGATTTTATTCTGATTGAAAGCAAAAGCAGTACGTTCACTTATTTATGAAAATCAGTGTTTCTTTTTGCCAAAATAGACAAGTTGTTTCATCATTTCGGTCGTTTCACAGGGGAGTATAACCTCTCAACAGTTGAGTTTATGCTTTTAAGTCAGGGGTGGGCAAACTTTTTGACTCGAGGGCCACAATGGGTTCTTAAACTGGACCGGAGGGCCGGAACAAAAGCATGGATGGAGTGTTTGTGTGAACTAATATAAATTCAAAGCATTCACATTTCACTGTTTATCTCTTGATTTCTTACGGCATGACCAGTTTCTTTTTATTTATTTTTCTTAATCCTCACCCGAGGATGTTTTTTCCGTTGATGTCTAGAGAGAAATGGGGGCTGGGAGGAGAAAGAGGAACATCAATATGAGAGAGACACACAGCGACTGGTTGCCTCCCGAGGCCTCCCAACCAGAGCCAGTGATAGAACCTGCAACCCAGGTAGATGCCCTTGCCTGGGAGTCAACCCCGTGGCCCGTTGGTGCGAGCGCTGAGCACCACCGGCCAGGGCGTGGCATGACCAATTTTTAAAACACAGAATCATGTTTCAAGAAAATGCCCAGGATTCAGCCCATGGAATGTACATAGAAAGGCCCTTTTTAGTGAGCCAGGAGCCAATTATTGGGACTGCTGGGCGATGACCAAATAGAAATCTCATCATCAAGAGTCATTCAGCTGTGCAGTAGCTTTGTCGGAATTAATATCAGCGAAGACTGTTATGTCTGTCTGTGCTGAGCCCTGTGAGATCTCTTAACGTTATGTTCTCGCTTCATTTCCGTACTTAACGTTTTTCAACATGTGAGGAGTAATGTTTTTGTGTTTGGACAACTTTATGTTTCTCTCTTTTCGCTCCAAGGGTGTTGGAAGCCAGAGAAGTAGGCTGGGCCGTGTTCTGTTTCACAAACAAGTTACCAGCTTTATTCGGCTGTTCGTCAGCAATACTGAAGAGCACATTTTTTCTTTCCCCCTCTCCCCGTCCCCCTTTTATGGTTTGCCTCAGGTTTTCTTTGACCTTTTCCTTATTATTTCCTGCCTCGTAACTTTCACTGGCTCCCTTCCTGCCAGCGCTCCTCTCTGGCCCGCTTCCATACTGCAGAGTAATTCGGCTCCCAACCCACAGATCTTTTCAGTGTAGCAACCCGTTGTCTTCCGATTCTGCTCGCACCTACTCTGATTTCTACATGGAGGGAAAAAGAATGATGGTTCTCATATATTACACTTGCAAATCACGTTTCGTATGTTCTCAGAAAACAATTCAAATGACTGCGTGTAAGTCTTTTGGACATATGCTTGCACTTGCCGTGTTTATTTCACTGACATTGTCTCTAGTAAAACTGCCTAGGGATTTAAGTTGCTTTTACTGTGAATTGCCTTTTGGCCTCCCTGACTTGGAAGAATCAGGATCTCGCTGTCACTTGCAGTTGCAGAACCCATGAAAGTGAATAGCTCATATGTACAGAACCCATGGCGCTTACTTCTAAACCTCCTCTTATGACGGATAAAAAGCAGTGATTTCAAGAGTACTCATCCTAGCTCTTTAATTTTGAATTTTCGAAATATCCCAAAACTTTATTCTTAATTACCAAGGGACACTTTTGTGACATGCAGGTGTGCCATGCGGAACTTGAGTTGGGGACTTGTTTTCAAGCAGTGAACAGCAGGATCCAGTTACAAATCCTTGAGGCACAGTGCCTTCCAAGCTCATCCACACCTCTGACTTTGAGTAAGTATGTAGTATAAAGCGGAATCTAAAGACAATGTTAGTAAAAGGTTGGTTTTCCCCTACACTGCTATAGTGGAGATTAAAGTTCTAGTAACTTTTATTACTTAATGTGAATACTTATCTTTTACCTTAGAATCACTTTATTGGATTTCAAATTTTAACCCTTGTGCCTACCTGAACCCACTGGTCTCTTGATTCTTATCCAGTTGTGACCTCTGCATTGAGGCTATTCCTTAGTTGGCTCATTAGTTACTGTAGCTTGTGTCCAGAGGACGGCCAGATGTTTCACCGGCCCAGATGATTTGTCCTATGCAACCTTTGCTGGATACTCTGCTAATGAGAAACTTAAGTTTTAAAAAACAAAAATGTCAAACACAACCACTGAAACACGGTTTCCTCCCTGCCCTCGGGGCACAGCCAGGGATTCTGATACTTTCGGTGCGTAGGCCTGGTTCACATGGCTGCCCTAGAGCTGGAGGTTAAGGTCAGTCCCACCTAACGGGCTAGGAGTGGGGTAAGAGCACTCCTTGTTCCTACTAGAAGAAGAGGAAATATCCGAAGCAGACAGAAGTCATGGATGGCCACTGTAACTGATGAGACTAAAAAATACAGCCAAGCACCCAACTCACGAAGCTAGAAAAACAGCAAACACAAAGGAAAGAAGGAAGGAATTAGAGCCAAAGTTGAAGTTGATAAATATTGAGGCAACAACGAAAGACATGCGTAATAAAACTGAAAGCTTTTTCTTTGAAAAGGTCATTAAAATTGACAAACCTATGGTAGGTCGGATCAAGCAACAAACAAAGAAAACGTAAACAAGGAGAATATAATTTCAAATTCAGAACAGATTCAATAATAATAAGACAGTACCATGTATAATTACCGATTCATTTGAACATCTCTGTAAATTAAATGATTTTCTAAGGAAAATTGTTCAAGACCCCCAAAGAAGAGTGAAAATCTGAATAAAACAGTAACTGCTAGTATGTAAAGGTAGTTAAAGAACCTTTTCTAATACAAGCACAAGGCCAAGATGATTTTACTGGCAGATTCTACTAGAAGGTGTTTCTGTTATGGCAGTAGCTCATCAGACCTTGGAAAGTGGCTTCTTTATATTCTTTACAACAAAAGTACGGGCACATATCTTTCTATGGTGTTTTAAATACAATTTTATATATCAAAATTTCTTACGTTTCAGGTTTTTTTGTGAAGGTGGCAATGTTCAGCTCAGGAGAGCTGATTTATAAGAAGAAGACACGCCTGCTGAAGGCCTCCAACGGGAGAGTAAAGTGGGGAGAGACTATGATTTTCCCACTGATACAGAATGAAAGGGAAATTTGTTTTCTCGTTAAGCTTTATAGTCGAAGCTCTGTAAGAAGAAGACACTTCGTGGGGCAGGTTAGTGAGAGTGTTTATCTTGAATTCTTGCCTTGCACTTTTCTGTGCATTTAAACAGTTGGTTAACAAAAGGAATATAGGATAAAATTGAAGTTTAATAGAGGACAGTTCTTTGGCATCATAAATTAAAATTCAGTGTTGCCACAAAAATTAAATTTTATCAGAATTTTTGCTTTAATACAGGTAGTTGGAATTTCTGAGCAATCAGACTTGTCTTAATAGGACTTTTCTTTCTAAATGAACGTTACATTTCTCAAGGGGAGAATAAGTGTTTTTCTGAGCTTTTCAACTGTAGAAAGTATGAGAAGGATGAGTTTTTCAGGAGTGCTCATTCCTTATGAAGAGAGAACACAGTAATTTAATTTCTTAAGGCTTCACATATCCGACTTTATTCTGTTTCATGTTCAACTTAATCTTTACCTCTGTCTGATATTAACTGAATTATGTGAGATTTGAACTTGTAAAAAACATCAATTTTAATAGTGGTTGTGGTATTATTTAGATAGTCAGTATGGGTGTCTGGGTTAATCTATGTAAAAATTCTCAGTAACTTGTCTAAAACAACATAGCACTTGCCCGCTTGCCAATCCTATAGGAACTTGTCTTCTTTTATCCTTTTGCTCTTTACTCTGAGTGGATCAGTGGGAGCTGTCTATTGTGTTTTGCCTTAATTACAATCATGTGACTTACATTTAAATCCCAAAATCTATATTATTGGTTTAAAAGCTTCCATTTGACAAGATGTGACTAGCAGTCTACATGAAACCCTAAAATTATATGTAAATTTTCAAAGATTGGTATTAACTCTTTGATTTACTTCATATATTTTACCTACAATATTTGTTTAAAAATTATAGTTTTGTTCTTCACTTTTTCTTATTCAAAAAGCTTAAACTCAAGAATTCATACAACTAGCATACTTCTCAAAGCCATAAGACCCATGAAGTGAACTCTGTTAAAGTTTTCCTATATCATCAAGCCTCAACTACCCTGTACGAAGGGAATAGGAGACTTACTTGACAGATGATTTTCAGAAAACTTTTTGGTAATTCTACTTTCTCGGTTGAGATTCTAGTTAAGAATAATAATTCTGGAAAGGTTCTTGCTAGCCCTCTGTTACCTGTAGCTTCTCCGGTAGTTTTGGGAGCCACCATGATGGAGTAGCCAAATGTGGAGTCAAGATCACCCACTCCCATTGCAAAGGTTAACTCTGACTATTCTAGATTTAAATTAGATGGATAATTTAACCAAAGCACTCTTACATTATCTGTTTTTATGTCAGGGTTGTTTGTAAGATTTTATGTGAAGGAAAGTTCTTCAGATCATGAAATTAAAGGGAAACATTGAGAAACCAGTGGGTGACCTGCCCTAATTTCTTTATTTAGAAGAATTAGAAACTGAGTCTCAGATTAATTCCAAAGCAACAGCATTTGTTAGTGGTAGAGCTGTGGTGAGAAAAATTCAGGTTTTTCTATCCTTGCTCACCATACCTCCATGATAGGTAACCATGGTGCTATCTTGACTTTGCATAATGCTTTCCAGTTTTCCCAAATTCATCGCATCTATTTCCTGAGGTTACATAAGTGAAGAGCACTGTTTACTGTGGATTATTATGAAATTGTTTACGGTGGATCAAGAATGACTAATGATTAGATTTCAATTACAATTACAGTTTTATATAACATACACAGTGCTTGAAAATGCAGATTTCTTATCCATCTAATTTAAATCCAGAATAGTCAGAGTTAACCTTTACAAAAAAATTTTTGAGTGATTGGGACCAGTTTTAAATTGAGCTCCTAGATTTATTGAATAAGAAAGGATACTCATTATTTTGGGGAAAATGATTATGTAATATCTCACATTGAACTTTTAAATTGCATTGGATCATACAAAATAGTCCTCAGGGTGACTAGATAGGTTAAATGTTTTCACATTTAAGTTTCAAAGAGAGAAATAAAACTTTTGGAAAAGTGGAAAGATGTTTAATTGAAAATATGTAAACTAAATTTCCAATTGTCTTTCATCAATAAGGGGAATTAACTGAACTCCTCGTTACTGTGTTAAGCAAACGGTTGTATTGTTCCTTTACAGATTTGGATAAGTGAAGACAGTACTAACGTTGAGGCAGCAAACCAGTGGAAAGAGACCATTACAAATCCAGAAAAGGTTGTCATCCAGTGGCACAGATTAAACCCATCCTGAAGACTTCCCGCGTTACTTGGTAAAGAATTGGACATTCTTTTAGAAGACTTAAGATTTCAGTTTGCTACCAATGAGAAGAGGCAAATCAATATATTTCTCAAGTCTTTCATGGAGGTCATAATTATAGTATTTAATGGATCTGTTAGAAAATTAAACTTGATAAAACATGGTATGAATTACATCAGGTATCCAAAGTAAAGGAAATGTTTAAGAACTGTGCCGAAATAGACAACAAAAGGGTGGTGTTAATAGGGCAACTAAATAAATTACAAAACCAGTGAGGATATCAACCATGGATAGTTACAGCCATATTATGTTCATAGGGTCTTCTTTAAGCTTTACCTAGATATTCAAAATCTACCACGTCATCCTTGATAGGGCTATTAGGCATTTAGAAGACTTTACTGCTGACTGTTTCAGTGCTAATCATTACTGGTTATATCTTGACTTTATTGTTTACTTTTTGCTACATATTTTCTCCCAGAAAGCAAAAATGAATTGATCTGCTTCAGCTCCTGGGGAAAGTTTGTGCCCTGTGTTTATCACTCCTTATCCATAAGGTCTCACATTGCCAGTTTGTCTCAAAGAAACGTCAGATATAGACAACTACATTTTGGTAAGAATAATGAAAACACCAGAGGTTAAAGATTAATTGGAAACCCTATGTACACACATTTTGCTGTCTTTTTCTCTCTCTCAGATATTTTACTCCTTGTTTTATTAGGAGTTGAAATAAGATTATCATGCATATGGCCTGTCCTAATCAGCAGAATTAAATGAACTTAAATAGCAAATTCAGTATTTTATGATAATCACATCCTTGTTTTTAGCTTTTTTAAATATAAATTATTTGTTCTATAATTCACAATGTTCGAGTATTTTCCCATTTTTGAAATGACCATACCTGATAACACCATGTAGCAAATATTTTCTATTGCAGTGTCTCTCAGGTACTCATTAGAACTCAGTATGTGGATAATTTCAGTTTAATTGGCCATGCACACTGGCCCAAAAGAACAGCTCTTTGGAGAAATAAATAAGGCTGTCCCTGATCTTGGAAAATTTTATTTTATGTTTGCTAATGAGTAGACCAAGTGCTCTGTGTTCATGGTCTTTAATTTTTCTTTCTATCTTACTTTGTCTCACACATGCCAAGAGATAGAAGGTGATATTTTAGGCCAGAAGTATACTTTGCTATAGCTTAAGCATGCCCTCCCTCCTTATTCCAGTTCTTATATTCTGTGCATCTTACTAAGATTTTCTCAAAGAAGCACTTTTCCCCTTATCCTAGGTATTACCTCGCCTCCAGCTGTAAGATGTACATACTTCACCTGCCCTAGCTCTTCCTGCTTAGAGTTTGCACAACAACAGTGGTGTTGTCAGGTCTCTCTGTGCATGTTAAAATATTTATGTTTTAGATTTGTGGAAAATGGCATAGTATTGATTTTGATTTGCGAAAAATGGCATAATACTCACATGGACTTTTTAAAAATATATATTTTATTGACTTTTTTTACAGAGAGGAAGGGAGAGAGAGAGGGATAGAGAGTTAGAAACATCAATGAGAGAGGAACATCAATTCAACTGCCTCCTTCACACTCCCTACTGGGGATGGGCCCGCAACCAAGGTACATGCTCTTGACCGGAATTGAACCTGGGACCCTTCAGTCCACAGTCTGACACTCCATCCACTGAGCCAAACCGGTTAGGGCTCACATGGACTTTTAAGATAAATCACCTTGTGTGGTAGTCTTGAATCTTTGAGACAAATGGTAACTATTTGAAAAAATTTTAAATACTTTTTTTAAATCCTCACCTGAGGAACATTTTTTTTTAAAAAATGATTTTACAGAGAGGTGAAGGGAGAGGGAGAGAGAGGAAAAAAAATACTGATTGGTTGCCTCCTGTACGTGCCCTGACCTGTATTGAACCCGCAACCCGGGTATGTGCCCTGACCAGGAATCAAACCCACAACCCTTTGGTACACAGGATGATGCTCCAAACAACTGAGCCACACTGGTCAGGGCTAAAAAAATATTTTTTTAATAGACTTTATTTTTTAGAGCAGTTTTAGGTTCACACCAGAGTTGAGAGGAAAGTACAGAGATTTCCCTTGTGACTCCTGCTCCCACATATGCACAGCATCTCGCACCAGATGGTATGCTTGTTAAAAA